CTGAGGGAGCTGGGGCTCTTGAGCTTGGAGCAGAGGAGACTGAGGGGTGCCCTCACTCCTGGGGATCCATTTGGAAAGGGCGAGTGTCAGGAGGAAGGAGCCAGGCTCTGCTCTGGGATGGCCAATGCCAGGACGAGGGGGCAATGGTCCCAAGCTGGAGCACAGGAGGTTGAAGCTGCAGATGAGGCCAAAGTTTGTGAGTGTGAGGATGGCAGAGCACGGCCCAGGCTGCCCAGAGAGGTTGTGGAGTCTCCTTGTGTGGAGACACCCAAAGCCCTGGCCGTGTTCCTGTGTGACTGCTCTGGTGATCCTGCTCTGGGGGAGCTTTCCAGGTCCCTTCAACTCCTGACATGCTGGGATTCTGTGGTGTGGCACTGGGTACTCACCTTCTCTGGCCTCTGGCTAGCAGCAGCAATTTGGCGGATCGGGAGGGCAGACGTGTTACTAGCGAAGACACAGTGAGGAGGGATCACCTGCAGCAGAGGGTAGGAGAGACAGTGTAAATACACAGGCTCCAGAGTCAGATCCACAGCGTGATGGGCAGAGCCCTGAGAGAAAAGCACCAGCACCCTGACAAACAAGGCAAACCTGATTTTCTCAGTCAGGGCAGACAGCATTAGAAACTAATCCTTAAACAGCAGCCCAAGTCAGCCAGATCTGACTTCCCCTGAAGTCTCCCCAGGTTTGCAATGTTGGTTTCAAACCCCCATGTTTCTCCCAAACCACTGTGACTGCATTAGACACTGCACAGACCAGCTCCTTTACCATACAGTTATTTCCCCAAGCGTGCTGTTGAACAGAAAAGAGCAGTGGTGGCAAGGTAAGGACAGTAACTAAAGGACTATAAACTGTGGAGATATCAAAGGACACGACTGTCATATCAATGTGCTCAGACAAATGGAGGAGGTTTTTTGGAGTGGCTCCCAGGAGTCAGGGAAGGTCAGAACTGCCCCGTTCAGCTAAGAGCTACTGAGCAGTGAATATCCTTAGTGAACTGAGAGGCTGCCCTTCACACTCACCCATGTACTGGCACAAATAACGTGCACCAAGCACCAAACTGCAGCACAAAGATGTGACAAACCCAGCAGCACAGGACAGGACACCCTGAGTCTCCAGAGGGGCCACATCCAGCACACGGTGCTCAGAGCCGATACTCACGGCCTCCACTTCCTTCAGCACTTTGTGCTTGATGTTGATGTCCTCGAACACCGCCTCGATCACCATGTCTGCCTTCTCGAAGCCCTTGTAGTCCAGCTGGCCCGTCAGGTTGCTGAGGATGGAGTCTCTCTCGAAGGATGTCAGGCTTTTCTTCTTCACCTTGTCGTTCAGCCTGGGGAAGGACAGCTCTGTCACAGCCCCCGAGCAGCCAACTCAAACTGCTGCAGGTGCACCACAGCACCGAGGGCATCCCTCCCTCCTGGAGCTGAGGCCCACACCACCACCTCCAGCCCGGCAGGACTGTCACTGCCTACTGATCCCTCCTTCCCTCTGGAGAAAGGAGAGCCCTGCTCACACAACCCAGCTGGTGCATTGGTCTGAAGGTCCATTGCTGACGTTCCTGAGGGTGCACAGCTGAGCACTGTCACTGCTGAGCCAGGACAGGGGACAGAAATCCAGCTTTCCAGAAGCCTGACCCAGCGCCTCCCCTGACGTGGGCCTCTAGGCAGGCAGGATTACTCCCTCCCCGCTCAGCTCTAGAAGCTACTGCTAAATCTAAAAGCTAAAGCAATCGTCTGTTAGGTTGTCTACCTACCTAAGGAGCTAAGGCTGAATACACTGGGCCTATTTCGTAGCAATATCCCAGCACACTGCATAGGGCAACCTTAAAAGAAAGCATTTCTGTGACGTCTGAAGGCAGAAGACGACTCCAAAGGAACAGAGGTGTCAGGAGCTCCTGACTGCCTGAAAGCAGAGCCTAAAGGCAGCCCCGTCTCATATTCCTTTTAACTCACGTACCCCTTGAAGACCTGCTGCTGTCCTCTGTCCAAGCCTTTCTGCGCTGTGTCCTTCAGAATGGTCTTCATGCCCTTGTCCACCGAAACCTGTGCGATCCCAGCTCCCATCAGTCCTGCTCCCAGCACCGCCAGGGTCCTGCACAGAAAAGGACCAGGGTACACATTTAAAGCTACAAACAGCTGAATTTTCCTTATTACCGTCAAGATTTGTAGAGATCCTGTCCGCCCAGGCACTATTTTTAGTGAGGTCACACGAGATTTCACTGCTCCTCAGGCGTCCCACACCTTCCACTTACTTGACCTCTCGCTGAGGTGTCCCAAACTTGTTCTTCTTGCAGCGCACCTGCCCGTGGTAAAGCCCCATCAGCGCCTGGGATTCCTTCGTCATCGCAAGTTGGCCGAAGCTCTGCAACAAAGGGAGAAGGGAAGCACGGAGTTTGGCGTTTAACGGCTGTGTCACGTCCAGCACACATCAAAAACACGGCAAAGGGAGAGCACAGCCACCCGTGCAGCTGCACAGGCTGAAAACCTGGTTAGAAAAGGAGGAAGGGAGAGGGCATAGCCCACTTTGCACCACTGCCTTCCCTATGGGCTGCCAGGAAGCAGCAGGAAACTGCTTGTTCAGTGTCCTTTCCTGTAATTTAAAGCACCTGAAAGAGCGTGTACCTCAAACACTGGTGTCTGGAGGGGCAGGGGTTCTGCCAGGGATCAACACAGGAGCCACTTGTACTCCCCCAGTGGCAGGACTGCATCTCACTGGTGTGGGACTCTTTCTCCCCCCATTGCCCCTGTAGCTTCCAGGTAGAAGGGCTCTGCTCTCAGAAGAACCTTTGGAACGGGCCAGTTCTCACTGACAGCAGTCATCTGATGCTATTTCCAGAGGATCATAGACAGGCAGCAAAAATCAAAGGCCTGCATAACCTCCCAGCGCTCAGCGTGAAACAGGAAAGCAGTCAGGAAGACAAAAGACAGTGCAAGGCGACAGAGAATGAATGTTGTCTGAGCCAAGGCAGCTCGGGAAGGCAGCCAACACAATCTAGTTCAGATCAGGCTGTGTCTTCCTTCACTGTCCTGGGAGTTACAGGCTCGCTAAAATATCAGCGACACAAAGCCTGGAAGAGAATCTAAATCTCCTATCCTGGGGGAAAGAGGGAGGCGCTTAAAAAGACATGACACTGACACTTATTATTCCTCAGAGGGTTCTGGGAAGATCTCCATCCTGCTGCTTATACTCAGGAGAAAACATTCATTCTTTTCTGGGAGGAACAGAGCATGCCCAGCCTTTTATGCGGCTCCAGACCAAACGTGGGCGGAATGCGTAACCACAACAGAGCGGGGGGCACGCAGAGGGTCACTGCTGAGGTAGGAGGCAGGCGGATACATCTCAGACCAGAACCTTGGCACCAAGAGAGAACAAAAGGAGCGATTAAGCACGGCAGGAAGAACGGCGGGGTGGGACAGACAGCAGCGTGAGGAGCGGGTGAACGTTACAGGCAATGCTGCAGGGGATGGATGGATTTTACCGGTGGTTACGGGGCAGCGATGCGAGACGTGACCCAAATGTAGAGATACCCAGAGTTGGGGGTCTTTGGGGCAGTCAGGTCCTGCAGAGCCAGCACCGGTGACATTGTGCGAGGCAGAATGACCCCTTCAGTGCCAGAAATAACAAGTCTGACTACAGACGTAGTAAAACTGGGAGCAGTGAGGGAAAACTCATTAGGGGCAGGTTGTTTATTAGGGCAGAGAAAGGGAGGGATCGAGATGGCTGAGGATGAACACGCTTGGGAAAACAAAGACTCTGTGTGTGGGGAGAATAAAAGGGTCACGCATAAGCAAGCCCGTCTGCTCAAGCCCTGGACCTGCCCACCACAGACTGTCCACCCTCCATAACAAACTCTGTTCCTGTTTTCACAGAATCCCAGCA